GACATTACACCGGGTTCATTTAGCGGCCGTTCGACGTTGGAACAGCAGTGAAACAAGTGACTTACAAACGTTTTCACACTTAGGACCTTTGCAGTAGGTCCCATGACCGAAATTCAGATGCTTGGCCGTTGACTCGTATTTATGACAGTTGCTGGGACCATGAGATCCCCTTTTGCGACCTGACCAGCAACCTCAGTAGGAAAGGTGGATTTACTTAACAACCATGTTACTCTCGTTTCCTTGAAAACACGACCTACCCTGAAAGTAAGTCCTAGCTTGATTTTTTTTTTACACATGTGCCCAATATAAGCCCTACCTCCCATAATAAGCCTTAATTAAGACTCTGCCCACTCCAGAGTGGACAGGTAAAAATTAAGCTAGGGGGGAGATGGGGGGTGGGCGGAGTTGCCCTACTACTTACCTTTGGGCAGGTGTAGCCAGGCCTCGCACACCCCAACACCTGCCTGCCTGGTCCATTTCTTCTGCAGCCAGCAAAGCTGGCCAGGCTTTCCTGAAGGCCTCTGTAGCTGATAACAAAGCTCTGGATCGATCCTGAGGTCTGTTATATATCGCTTGCAGATGTCTTCAGGAAGGCCTTGCCGGCTGCAGAAGAAGATCCTGAAGGCCTCTGATAGCGAAAAGGAGGCCGGGGGCGACACATGCATGTGAAGTTAGCCAGTGGATGACACCCCCCCAAAAATAGGACCTGGTGCCTGTTTTGGTGGCCAAAAAATAAATAAAAAGTCAGGGTTTTATTTTCGGGGAAATATGGTAACTTAGCAACAGCAGTGATTCACTTAACAACTCAGGCCAGAAATGTCATGCTATGGGGCAAAGCTCACTTAACAATTGTCTCGCTTAGCTCTGGAAATTTTTGGAGTCCATTACGGTCGTACATTGAGGACCCTCTGTATTTATAGCGCTCAAATTCTTTGGATGCGTCAAATCTCTTCCCATTTCCTGCCCTTCAGATGCGTTCACCTCACTTTCCGCGTCAGCCTCTTGACATCTGTCCGTCTGTCTCAAGGCCAGGATTTCAAATTTTCACTTTCCTCATCTCGGAAAGTTGGCTAATCTTCGAGCCGCATTTTATTATCCCGTCCGTTTACAATCCTCCGAAGTCCGGGAACGAAGAGCAGTGTGGGAAGCCTCCCTTTAAGTTGAACGCGGAAGTTCATTTCTGATTTCCATATTAATAAAATACAGCTTTGTCTTTTTTAAAGAAAAAAAAATTGGCTATAATCCTTGCAACAACCACGGTGAGGAGGGATTATATGGGTGATATTAGGAAAGCAATTAAATGCTGCAAGAAAAAAATTTAAAATTGGAGAGAAGAGACACGAAATTAAATGTTGAATGCTGCTTATAGCCACCGTTCTCAAGGCATCAGAAAAGCTTAGCCGTATGTATGTATGTATGTATGTATGTATGTATGTATGTCTCAGTATACACACACATGCGTGCATGCATGCATGTTTGTCTTAGTGTGTGTGAATATATATATATATTTCTTTTCTCAAGTTTTCATGGGTACTTACATGTATGGTATTCATCTTTGTTCGGGTATTTTCCCACGTCATTGTAGTTGTGCTTTTAAAGTTGTAGCAACGTTTCGGCAGAATCTCATCTGCCATCATCAGGCTTCTATATTGTGTCCGTCTGTATATACACAATATATATACACAATATATACAGAAGCCTGATGATGGCAGATGAGATTCTGCCAAAACGTTGCTACAACTTTAAAAGCACAACTACAATGACGTGGGAAAATACCCGAACAAAGCTGAATGCCATAAATATATACACAATATATATATGTATGTATGCATGTGTATTGTAATGTATGATGTATGTATACGTGGGTGGGTGTTTGTGTACCCATATATAAATACATACCTGTACATATGCGCACATACACCCACCCACACATCCTGCCTTTGGTGCATGAAACCATTTTAGAACCATGGGTTTCGTCCGCGTTATTTTTTTTTCCTGGCAGACAAGGAATCTCACTGCAACTTCCGTGCCAGATCAGTGAGATCTTTTTGGCTCCATGGAGTATGCGCTGTTTTCCCACAGCCCGCTGGCATGTTGCATCGTGCCGCTAAATAGGAAGTGGCTGTTGATGTTGCTGCTAAGCTGCGTTGAAGAGAGGGAGGGAGGGGGGAATTGCTACCTCTCTCCCCCCCCTCAAATCTGTTATTTCCACCTCATCAGCAACGGAGACGTCTCCAATTCAAGACCCCTGAAATTTAATTGCCTCTCCTGGCAGGATTTAACCTCAGTTGGGGTGTCTTGGAATGCGGTTTTGATCGAGGGTGTAACCACCCATGAAATTAGACACAGAACACACACACTTCGCAGCGTCGCACAGTGGGGTCTGTCACACCTCCTAGGAAAAGGGCAGAGAAAATGGCAGATGTTCCCACCGGTGAATCAAAGCTGGATCCGCAATTTGTTTTCCTTGAGTGAGGACGCGTGTTCGGCTTTCCGGATTTGTCCAGTTCCTTACCCTGAAGTACAGGTGGGCCTCGACTTACGACAGTTCATTTAATGGCTGTTCGAAGTTACAATGGCACTGGAAAACGGGACTTTGGGCCCGTTACGGCTTACGACTGTGGCAGCATAAATAGGAGTCTGTTGCCAAGCCTCCGAGTTTTGATCCCACTGTTCAGATCCCAGCCTTAGCAGAAAGCAAGAAAACGACTCCTTGTCCTCCGTTGTTCCTCTCTGCTAACAACTTTGCGCATATGCGCATCTAGAACAGGCCCCAGCTGTTCTTCCTCCTCACTCATATCAGCCTCCAAAGGCAGCTGCCTCTTCTCCGGTGGCTGGGAAATGTCGGACGGCCCTGGCTCTCTCTCTGCCTCCATCAAACCTTCCTCAGACTCCAGAACTGTCCAAGTTCCTCCCCAACCTGATCATCATCCGATTCTGCCGCCTGTTCTACTGGCAGATGGCGGGCCACAACTCCCATGGTCATGGGATCAAAGCTCAGAGGCCGAGCAACTGACTCCTATTTACGGAGGTTGCGACATCCCAGGGTCACGTGATCCCCGTTGGTGATCTTGTTGTGGCCCACCAGCATCCAGCGGACCTGGCGGCAGACTCAGACAGTGAGGAGGCGGAGCGTCGGAGGCTCTGCGTCGGAGGCAGAGATGGAGCCAGGGCCATCCGACAGTTATCAGCTGCCTTCGGAGTCGGAGATCAGTGGGGAAGAAGAACAGCTGGAGCCTGTTCCCAATGTGCACATGCACAGAGCTGCCAGAAGAAGGGAATAACTGAGGAAGAAGAAGCAGAGATGGGGCCAGGGACATCCAACAGTTATCAACTGCCTTCAGAGTCGGAGATCAGTGGGGAAGAAGAACAGCTGGAGCCTGTTCCCAGTGTGCACATGCACAGAGCTGCCAGGGGGAGGGAACAGTTAAGGAAACAAGGTTCGACTCAGGAGTAAAGGCTCAGGTGGACGGTGAATGGCCCTTCCCATAGGGAATAAAAGAGGAGGGAAAGGGGAGTGAAGTTTGCAGGAGACAATTAGTTCAGTTCATTAGAGTGACAGTCTGTTCCTGACTCCTTGCCAAGTAATTGCTGCTACAGCATGGCGTTTGGAAGATATTGGCCTGGCAACTCTCCAAACCTGAGAAAGGTCTGTAGTTGTGAACACTCTTGGAAGACTGTTGGCCAGGACTTTGCTGGATGCGAATGATAGGAATTCACATTAGCCAAAGAAAAAGGGGTTTTGTCGGGACAAGGTGTCTCTTTTGGGATTTTGGGAAGTCCAGGTCAGAACAGATCTTTTGTCAATGGGGGAGCCAGTTTCACTTAATAACCGTGTGAGTAATTTAACAGCAAGGCAGTGATTTCGCTTTGCAGCTCTGGCAAGAAAGAAACCTGGCGCTTCCTGGGCCTACATCTCCCAGAATCCCTCATTCTCATGGAATGCTGGGAATCGTAGTTCTGGAAAGGAAAAGCATGGATGCCACGAACCCATCCGGGGCGCCATTTTGCAAGCCAAACACAAAATCTCCTGGTTTCTGCCAGCTAGTTAGCAGCCGTGCCTGGTTTTCCTCTCGGCTTAAGCCGAGAAGTCCCTATTAGTATTCAGCATGCCTGGCTTCTATAAATACAACCCATAGAGAGGCTTAATTGCCAGAATCCTGCCCGCTCCGGTGACGCCAGGCCTGACAAGCTCTCCGCGTTAATCCTCCGCCTCTCTAGACCGAACCGCCGCCGATTTTTAATTAATCTGATTTAGTGGCTGAACCACAACCCTTGTAAAAACGAACACCTGGAACCGAGAGTTATTTATCCTGGCAAAGGAGTGAGTCTCATTAACTCCACAGAGTCGGCTTTACATTCTCATTCCTGAAGTGATCCTAGCGGAAGCCGTCTTAGAGGCTTCAGAGTTACCGCACAGCGTTGGGAGGAGGGAGGGAAATAGTTTGATGGGGTTTTGTAGCCAAAACAATAAAGGTTTCCTCTGGGAACCAAGGACATTCTCACAGGTGGCTGGTCAGAGGAGGAGCCGGTAACCCAGTAAGGAGCCAGCATCTGGATTGGACAGCGTAACTAGGGACTTGTTGCTGGGGGGGACGGGGACGGACTTTTACTTTTAATTTGGGGAAAGCTGCAGGAAATCTGAGTTGGCTTTTTTTCTCTCTCTCCTCTCTTTCTCCCCCTCTCCCTCTCTCTCTCCATCTCTCCCTCTCTCTCTCCTCTCTTTCTCTGCATACCAAAGGAACTCCAGAAACGGCAGAGCGCAATAAATTAAAATAAATAAATTAAGACAGGTCTGGCATGACTCATAGACTCTATGGATCTAATTGCTCTTTGGGTGGGGGGGAAAGTCTGCAGCCATTTCAACAGCTACGGTTCTGAGCAGCTCTCTTGCCAGCCAGTTGCCGTTTTGCATTGCCATTTGCCGTTTTGTGTTGCTGTGAAAGTAATTTGTGCCTTCCTGTCTTATTAAACCACCCCTTCTCTTTCCCCCACCCCAGGCTATCCTGCCGGATACCCCACCGCAGCCCCCACCTACAACCC